AAATGGATAAATATTTCAGGTCATAGGGTAAGCACTGTTTACTGAAGCTCTCTTTGTTATATCTATAATTCAGAAAAAAAAATTTATGTTTTTCATTGACAAAAAGTTTAGGACACATTGGCTAAGATATTAAATTATTGAGTTCTTTCATTCTGGGTGACATGACTTGGCTTGAATTATACAAAGTCTGTGCAACAGCAACATGTAGTATGTTGGGGCTCTTCTGTAAAAAGTTATAAACACAACTCGATAGACTATATATTCTAATCATGATTGATGAACACATTCAAATGTTATTTTTTGCAAACTAAAACATTTCAGATACAACACAGTATATTTTTTGACTAAATGGAGTTTCAAGAAAATAATTTTACCTTAGGTTTTGGGTGGATAATGGACAAAATGTGTGATATGAGTTCAGACTACTTACAGAATAAAATATAATGTGGGAAATTTTACATTATGAGCTGAATTGATACTTTGCCAAGCACTGGATTTAATAAAGAACATGCACACAAATGAACAAATATTTGACATCTCAACAGCTCCAAAGTTAATATTTATTTCAGCTTACTTTTATTCTTGTGAAACAAATGTTTTGAACAGACGAAATGAATGTTGGATCTTTAATGTATTTGTTAGATTCATATTTAAAGAAACACTTTACACAACAGACAAATTTTGTTAAAAATGCAGTTTCATAAATATTTACTGAGTTCAACCGTGCAGAAGATCTGAGTTAAGTCAACAGATACAATGGTACGTAATATGGGTACCTGGCTTTATGTTGATCATATGGATTATCGTAATTATAATTTCAAAGGGTAGAAATTATATCATTTTCTATTGTACATACCTACAGGACTGCCTCTATTTTAAATAAGTCTTAACTATTATTATTGCTAAGATCAGGGCCACAGTAAGGGCTACAGTGCTAACATATTACTGTATATTAAGTGGAAAACTTATTGAGTGGAGTATCTCTAAATCCTGGTGAAAATAAATTTTAAGAATAGACATAAATCATGTATTAGACACAGGCCATATACAGTCTTAACATACGAAAAACACTGTCCCAAGAATAGCATGATTTACCAAGGAGAACTTCAGTGGCAGAAGCAAACATCATGTAACTGGATGTATTAAAAAACAGAATTATTGTTTTTATCATTAAGTCACTTAAGGGAGGCATATACCAATAATACTCTTCTTGGAAGTTTAATACTTAAACATGAAGAAATGCCATCAGTTCATTGTTTTGTTTTCCCAGTAAAGTAGAAAAAACTAATTTTACTTAGGATTCAATTACCCTGAACCTTTAGTTAATTTAACTGTCCCTCTAAAATTTACTTTTATACAAAAAAATAAAAGAGGAAAATACAAGGAAACTAACTGGAAAAGATTTATCACAAACATGTTATATTTCTCTAAGGTAAATTTTGGGGTCAGGAGTCATTCAGACAAACCAGAATATCTTCATAATCACTTAAGATCATAATAATGTTCTGTAAGTGGGTCTGACATTTCACACTTGATTAAGAACTGAAGGGGAGGTGGTTCTTGTAGGAAAGGAGCAAAACCACCCAGGTGTTCAGGAAAGGTCCGTGTCTGATGTCATCAGAGTGAGTTGGTTAATTGAGAAAACTCAAAGCAGGGAATTACAGAACAGACTAGACATCTTTGGCACTTTGTTGTTATTGTAGAGTCGCTAAGTCATGTCTGACTCTTTGCAACACCATAGACTGTAGCCTGCCAGGCTCTTCTGTCCATGGGATTTCCCAGGCAAGAATACTGGAGCGGGCTGCCATTTCCTTCTCCAGGAAGTCTTCCCAGGGATCGAACCCATGTCTCCTGCCCTGGCAGGCAGATTCTTTACCTCTTGAGCTACCGGGGAAGTCCCTTAGGCACTTAGAAGATATAAATATATAATCATTGGTCTTATAGTGTAAGGCAGGACTTTTCTTTGCTATTAACTTGTTGCAGTGTCAACTCTATGGGTAAAGCACCATCCACAGAATGACCAACTTGGTTTCTTTAAAGTTGAGCAATCTGACTTCAGCATCTGTTTGAACTTACACAGTTCTTTTTCTTCACAGTTTTTGCTCCAACATTTAATTTAATGGCAATTTTTGTTTTGGGTGACTCATCTTAATCAGGACATTTAATGCTTTCAGCTTTATACTCACATTTGACTGTTTTACATGATATTTAACTTACATGTATTTATAATAATAACCACAGTGGCAAAATGTGGTTGAAATAAAACTCATGATGTATATAAAGTTCTACTAGAGGGAGTGAGAGGGAGCAGGTACCCCAAGAACACATACCTTTACTAAGTTTGGGCACATGGAGAGTAGAGAGCAGGGTCAAGCAAGCCAGTTACATGGAAGGTGGTCAAAGAAGTTTCTGCTGTTTGTCAATTCTCATTGCTATCAATACTTATACAGAAGAAACATTAGGCAGTCCTCATCATTTTTAACCCCTATAGAAGATTATTTTTGAAAGATCAATTCACCTCAATTCAAAAACCTATCATTTTATATTTACTTTCATAGAATTTTCATATATGAAGATTATATGGTTCATAGAAGCTTCTAGCCGGCTTCCCTGGTGGCTCAGTGCTAAAGAACCTGCCTGCCAAAGAAGGAGACACAGGAGACATGGATTCGATCTCTGGGTTGGAAAGATCCCCTGGAGGAGGGCATGGCAACCCATTCCAGTATTCTCGCCTGGTTAATCCCATGGACACAGAGGCCTGGCTGGCTACAGTCCATGGGGTTGCAAAGAATGGACAGGACTGAGTGACAAAACAACAAAGTTTCTAGCAACTTGTTACTGAAAATTCAAATTTCTTTTAATCAAATTCCTATGAAGGTTCCAAGACAACATCACTGTCCCACAGAGAACTAGTTAAACTGTTCTTCTTGTTATAAAGTTTCTCTTCATGATTACATGCTACCGTTGATCAATATCTATCAGCTGTTATCAATTGTCACCTGAATACTAGAACTCTTGGAACTATGATCTTTAAACATAGTCTCATTCTGTGCATGTGCCTTAGTATTTTCTATCTCAATTCTTAGCACCTTTCCTGCAGTATAAATGCCTCAGAGCTTTTAGTAACTCTCTCTGTGTCTCACTGAGGCTTTGTAGAATGCCAGCGAGCATAGCCCAATACTGCTTTCCAATATCCTTGGAATATACTGCTGATTATTTTTACAAACCTCAACCAGACTTTTCCACAATGCTTTTAATATTTCAAAACTACAGGCAACTCCTATCTTTTGCTGATCTCATGGGGTGGTTCTGTTGAAGTTAATTAAGCCTTCACTTCAAGCCCAGTCTTTGTATTTATCCCTGGATTCGGTAACCATAATTACAGTGACCTTCACTTTAAGATTTCTTTGGAAAGCAGCTTGGCTTAACTGTGAAGTTGCTCTCCGAAACTGACCAGGACAGTGCCGGTTCCTTGAGATTTGGTGCTGTCAGCACTCAGGGGCTGTTACCACACTGTTCTGTATTTGTACGTGATTTTGTGCTGTGATTATTTTCAAGCAAGGAAACCAATCTATGGTCCTCCTTTATTGTATCTGTATAACCACATGCAAATTCTATCAGTGCCCTAAACTCTAAGGAAATATGTAAAAGCCTGCCTGTCTCTGATGACTTGCTCAGCAACTGATGTTCATAATTCATTCTATATACCTGCAGTTTTTAAGGTCGTTAATATTCAAGCTCATTTAAACCCAATGACTTTTGGCCATAAACAGTAAAACTGGCTACATTTTAAGTTGATTTTAAATAAATATTCTAACATTTATAAAATACTGCTCACGTTAATGTTCACTGTTAGGATGGAAGATAAACATTAATGCTTATTATAATACTTATTTAAATTTAGTGAACACTTGTTATTATGGCTAAAATCCCTAGCATAGTAGAAGGCAGTCACTCCCTTTAAACGCTTCTGTAAGTACATATGAAGGGCTTACATTGATTCAAAGATTACATATTGTAGACTGATCATCCTGGGACAATCTTTACACCAAGTGGAGTCTCGCAGGCAATTTCTCTCCCCTCTCAGCCTTTGGGAGGAAGGTGTGGGGAAAGTGGACTTGGCAATGAGGAAAGCCGGGAATGTATTCTCACACACTGGAAGCCCAGAACCAAGGTAAGTTCTTCACCTGCATAGAGGATGGCTCATTCTGGCAGGTGAAGATACAAGGGAAAATCTATACACACAGACAGACATAAACGCATTTGCGTTCGGACAGGGGTGCCAGCAGAATAAAGTCAACTAAACCTCCTCTCATCCCCGCCCAATTCCCCGCTCTGCCAGGAAGGGCGCCGAGAGGTGATTTAAAGCTACAGGCTCTGTCCACACAAGTGTCGACGAAAAGGCATAGATTTAAAACGCCTCGTTGTGTCCTCCTTTCCTCAATAATCAGAGTGATGGAAAGTTTAGACTGTCCCTAAGACTCTATTTCGGCCATACAGTGTGTCGTTCAAAGAAAGATTTAATTTGAATTTCCACAAGGCACTCGCATCCTTCTGTGCTCAGGAAGTAATTCCGCCACATCCCGTAATGATTTCAAAACCCGAACAACGCCGACCGACCAGAGCAACGCAGGCGGAGCGGTCCAGCGCCTCCCAGTCACCCGGCCGGCCGCCCCGCCCCCGAGGGAGGAGCCTGACTCGCCCCGCCCCTCCGCGTAACCCGGATACACACCCACGCTCCCCTTTCACCTCGGGCCGTTGGCTAACGTGGAAGCGAGACCCGCCGGCCGGCTCTGCTGCAGGGAGCGGGCTGCCCCGGGGGAGTCGGGCGCTCGGAACGGTGGCGGGGGGCTTCTCAGCGCGGCTCGGTCTTTCCCGGGAGGGAGCGATGGGGCGCGCGGGCGCCGGGGAGCTGGCGCCGGTATAGACCGTGCGGCGCCCGGCTCGGGAGCGCGGGGAGGCCTGTGAGGGCCACCGCCCCGAGCGCCCGGCCTCCCGCCATGGCCCCCATGGGCATCCGCCTGTCCCCGCTGGGGGTGGCCGTGTTCTGCCTGCTGGGGCTCGGCGTGCTCTACCACCTCTACTCGGGCTTCCTGGCCGGCCGCTTCAGCCTTTTCGGCCTCGGCGGCGAGCCGGGCGGCGGGGCGGCGGGGCCCGCGGCCTCGGCCGACGGGGGCACGGTGGACCTGCGTGAGATGCTGGCCGTGTCGGTCCTGGCGGCCGTGCGCGGCGGCGAGGAGGTGCGGCGCGTACGCGAGAGCAACGTCCTCCACGAGAAGTCCAAGGGGAAGACGCGCGAGGGGGCGGACGACAAGATGACCAGCGGGGACGTGCTGTCCAACCGCAAGATGTTCTACCTGCTCAAGACCGCCTTCCCCAGCGTGCAGGTGGGCGCCGCGCGGGCCGGGCCGGGTGGGCGCGGGCCCGGGCGCCTGGACTTCTCCGACAGCCCCTGGCAGTCGGGCTCTGGCTCCAACTGGGCGGATCTGGGGATGTAGACGCACAAGTTGAGGTGTTCAAGGTGACACTGAAGAGTTGGTGGAAGAGCTGGGAGAGGTCGCGGGTCGTGGACTCGACCCTTCTGGCTCCTCCCCTGGTGTGCGCGTCCCCTGGGCACTGGGGATCTGGAGCTCTGGGGTCTGGTATCCCTGTTATTCGAAGGCTGAGAAAGCTAACTTCACTCCCTGCTACGGGCTCTTCTGTAAAATGAAAGGATAGGGCTAGAATCACCGAGGCCCTCTATCTTTCTTGCGTTTAGTTGCTAGAAGGGTCGATACACATTTCCTGGTGGACCTGCCAGGAGCCAGCTGAAGACCAGGAACTGTAGACGTCTCTCTTGCTGCATAGCTGTTAGTATGCAGGGAATTTGTGACTAGTGTGACCACGGTTTACCTTAGCTGTGGACTCATCAGGACCATCTTGATGGCATATATTTGAGGGGCCCTCGAAGGAAGTGTTTGGGAGTATGATTCCCAGCAACTTGACTTCACCCTTCTGGCCCATACTTACTTCAAAGAATGAGAATTGAAGAACGTTTCTGGGGGAAGAAATTGACATTTTCTTAGGGAAATACAGACATTTCAGATTTGTTGTTGATACCTTTAAACTTTATCATTTCAGTGCAGCTGCTGCTGAATGCATAAACCTTTAAAAAATGTATTACAGTCCAGAGGAAGAGCTCACATAGTGTGGTGGTACTTCCTAAGTGTAGGTGTTAACTCACCTAACAATGGGTTTTGGCGATGGGGAAGAAAAATTGTTTGCAATGGAATGTCATTAATTAGATAAACAGTGAAATGTAAACCGCTGCTTTTGGGGAAGGTATCTGACCTTTTACTGTTCTTGTAAGAGAGTATTGTCTTTGTAGAATTGTGTGTAACCCTCTCTCCAGTCTTTCCTGTTATTCCTTTTTCTTTCTTCATCTTTTTTTTTTTTCTTTCCTTTTAAACTTTCTTTTCGCAGCGGGAAGGAGCTTTGGCTTTCATATCATGAGCTGCTGGGTACCAGATGTAGTTGACATGATAGTTCTCCAGCAAAACAGAATGTTTCATGTTTTTCTTTTGTCCTTTGGCCCTTTACCATCACAAGTGTTACTTACTTTGTGTTTGCATCTAGATATAAGATGTGCTTGTAAAATTTCTTTTTCATTTCTCTGAAGCACATGGCGTTCACTAAGAGTTTGTTGGAGAAACAGGAGTTTCAGAAAACTTGGTGTAAACAGTTACAACAATAGTAATAGTAATCATTTATTGATTACTGTTTTAGCTAGTATAGTCCTTGCTACATAAGACTTGACTCGGTCCTCACAGCAACTTTAAGAAGTAAAATTTATTTTGCCCACCTTCCCGATGGGAGCCCTGAGACTCTTGACACTTCGCTTCACAGTTTATATGAAGTACCTTTAGAACTACCTTTAGGAGGCTGTTTAGAACCTAAAGTATGATCTCCTTGGGAAAATGTAAAATTGTAAAAGTTTGAAAGCAATAATAGTGAAATATAAAAGTAGAGTTGACTTTTTAAAAAAAAGATCAGTTCAAAAATATTTTTAAATATTGAAAATGTATAGCCATATGTACATGTGTGTTCAAATGCGAATTCCATCCCACCCCACCTCTACCAAAACTTTAATCCTGTGGGTAACTTCCACAGGATTCTGCATTTGTTTTCTCTCTTATTAACAAATGCTAAGGGAATTGCTGCCAAGAGTGACAAGCTGCATTTTGTTAAACACAAAAACTAAGCTTTTTACAGATGTTGAAGTCTGCCTTTATGTAAAATAGCTTTGTTTTCTTGTGACTGAATGTTTGCAGGTCCTTTTTTTGTGTTCTAGTTGGATGGTGATTGGAATAGAGGAAGTTATGTTCATTTAGACGAAATCAGAGTAGGATGGTATCATGATGAGCTGTCTCCTTTTGTCGGTATGTTGTTAGACTGGAGGCCAGATGTAGCTGTCTAGGTAGTGACTCAGTCCTAGATTCTTTCCTTTCTTCTTTCTCTTCCTTCACCACCCAGAAGTAGTCTTAAATGTCGAGTTATTTTTGAAGCCTCACCTTCAAAAATTTCACTGAAATTTTTCAGTGAAGATCTTAAGTTGAGTACCACTTAGTTTAGGTCCTTAGGGAAAATTAGCATTGAGAAGCCACAGATCCTCTTTTTACCCTGATGCCCCGTACAAATGGAGTCAGAGGCTTGAGCCCTCCTGTCTGCTGTTCACCCCTTAGTAACAAGATACTGCAGGTGTCACTTACTCTGAACTGGGGACAGTTTTGCCCCAAGGGGACATGTAGCAATGTCTGGAGATTTGGGGTTCTTGCAACTGGAGGCAGCACGCTGTTGTCATCCAGTAGGTAGAAGGAAAGTCTCGAGAACACACAGGACATTCCTCCTTCATAAGGGATGATCTGGCCTGATTTTCAGTTGGTGTTCAGTTTGAAAAGCCCCACTCCAAAGCAGTGCACATTCTAAGAAAACTCAAGAGTTTGACCTAGGACCCCTTGATTCCCTTTTGTCTTCAGCCTTTCTCCTTTGGGATCTTGGGAGAGTCCTCAGGGCAGCATTCCTCCTCTTCCTAAACTCATTGGCAATTCTGATTTCAGTGTAGAAATAAAAGTAGCTGCAGCCATTTATGTGGCACTGTCTCTCGTATCCTTCTGGATAATGATGAAAATGAAGGCTGAAGATAGGTTTTTGGAATGGATTTGTAGCCACTGAGCTGCTGCTTATAGTTTTGATTTAAAGTACAGGGACCTCTCTTTTTGAGGGGCTCCTGTCCTTGACTTGTCAAAACTTTTTGGCAGTGATTTATTTGATGATAAAGCATGATACTCTTAGCTGGTAGGAGTCTTGGGTCTGTACTGTCCTTGACCTCAGAGATGAGAGCTAGACTCTTCTCTCTCAACAGGAGTAATTGCTAGAAAAGGAGTACACACTTGAGAAGTGTGAAAGGGAAAATGAGGGCCTGGGGACCGAGGATCACAAAAAACTGAAAACAGTCATTTAATTTCAAAACAGTGAGAGTAATAGCAGCCAGCTTTTTTTAAGTGCTTACTCTGGGTTAAGCACTACCCCAAGTATTTCATTGAGTCACCCAAATAACCTAATAGGAATATATATTTATCATCCACTTTTAGCAATAAGGTAACTGCAGCTCAGAAAGATGAAGTAACTAGCCTAGGTAAGTCACCTATCAAGTAAAACGAGGAGCTGGAATGGACTCAGGCAGTGTGGTGATAGACCACATACTCCTAATAATGGTTCTGTATGCAGGTCATAGGTAAATTCTGTGAGAGTTCTCTTGATGGGAAGGAAGCAGAAGAAGATGAGAAGTAAGGAAATAGAGAAAAGAGACACTAAGTAAAGACAAGAAGTTGGGCTCTAAAGAACTTGGCTAGAGTGCTACATTCTAGCCAAGAGAAGGTTCTATGGATTTTTTGTTTCTTGTTTGTTTTTAAGGTGTAAGACACAGGAGCATGTTTAATTATTTGTTAGGGATATATTTGAGAGGTAGTAGTTGACAGTAAAAGGCTTCTGTCCAGTGGAAGGAGAAAAAAGACAGCTGGAGAACCCTGTGTATCCATTTAGAAAATAGTTGTTGAATGCCTACTGAAAGCACAGTGTATCTAAACACTTATTAGGATGTAAATCTCCATAAATCTATGGAGAAATATGGTAAATACTACCTTCTTAAAGCATTGACCCAAAGTTTCTTTGGCCCCAGAGTAACTGAACTGTCATATGAATGGCATTTACTGTATTTTAGGGTCTTGATTTCTTATTCTCCAATTCCCTGGTGAAGACTGAGACCCAGCCAGTAATGGGTGATGAGGTAGATTGAATAGAAAGTGTTACAGGGAAGAAATGAAACTACATTGGTGAAAGCTAGTGCTGTCAATCACGAAGTATTTATTTAGCATCTGCTGTGCCAGGCCCTGGTTTGGGCAGTGAGTACAGAGCTATAGTACAGAAGGAAGCTGACCTTAAATTTACAGAACTTATATTCTGGTGGGTCAAGGTAGATGACAAATGTACAAACGTGGTGATTTCAGATACTAACAAGGTCTTTGAAGAAGAATAAAGATCACATGGGAAGAGTGCTGGCGTTGTGGGGTGAGATCCTGCTTTGGCCATGTTCGTCAGGGAAGGCCACTCTGAGGCACTTTCATGTGGGCCCAGAACTGAACGATAAAAAGCAGGCAGGCCGCCATACAGAGGTTTGAGGAAAGGTGTATGAACAGGAGAGTACATTCTCTGAAAACAAGTGAGTCTGGGATGGAGTAAATAAGGTGCAGATAGAGAAAAGGTACTGGAGCCAGATCATCCTGGATGTACTTTAAGAGTCTGGATTTTATCTCTATGTAATGAGAAACCTTTAGAAGGGTTTTTTGTTTTGTTTTGCTTTGTTTTTTCTGACAAAGCAAGAGACTTTATTGGGAAGGGTGCCCAGGCAGAGAGCAAGAGGGTAAAGAAACTAAGGAGGACTGGCCTGCCGCATGGCTCACAGTCTTGGGTTTTATGGTGATTAGATTATTTTCTGGGTTGCCTCTGTCCAGTCGTTGTGGCTCAGCGTCCTCCCTGGTGGCGCAGGCATTGCTCAGCCAAGATGGGTTCCAGCAAGAATCCATCCACTTTCTACTCTCATCACTACTGCCTGTGTCTCAGCCCTCACCAGGGAACTGAAGAACAAGAAATCAAGACCCTAAGATCCTGGGAGGTTGGTAAGACATGTGGCATTTCCTTTTAACCTTTCCTAGCTTCTTCAGTTGGTGGTGGCTTGTTAGTTTCCCATCCCTCATGGGACCTACTGTTGTAAAATAACTCATGCAAATGGTTACACTGGTGTCTGGCCAGAGTGGCGCTTTCAGTCACTGTTTCCCCTGCAGTCCTCAGACTCAGGTCAGCAGCCCTTGGCAGCCTTTATGCAAAGGTCATTGTGAGTGTCATTGGAAGGTTTTTAGCAGGGAGCGACACCATCTGATTTAGGAAGATGGCAGGTTGCCTGGTTGAGAAGGAAAGCCTCTTAAAGGCAATAATTGGTTTGTTTTGTTCATTATTATATCCCATTGCCCAAAGCAGTTTACGATATATAGTCATTAAATCATTATTGAATGAACGAATGCATCAGTGAATGCACAGTTGGAGGCAAGAGCAATCAAGGCTATTTTTGAAATCCAAGTGAGAGATAGAGGGTTCACAGTAGAATTTTCTTAACTATAGAAAGAAAGTGAGGTTGCTCAGTTGTGTCTGACTCTTTGCGACCCCATGGACTGTGGACTACCAGGGTCCTTTGTTCGTGGGATTCTCCAGGCAAGAATACTGGAGTGGGTTGCCATTTCCTTCTCCAGGGGATCGAGCCCAGGTGTCCTGCATCGCGGGCAGACGCTTTACCATCTGAGCCACCTGGGAAGCGCAGTGACAGTTGTTTAGAATTGGGGGGTAGAATTTCTAGGGCTTAGCTAGCTGGTGGAGCATGGAAAGGAATTGAGTTGGTCAGGCTGTTTATAATGGTGGCAGTGGTTTGTTAAATTTGTCGGTGTGGCATGGTAGTAGCAGGTAACAAATAGCTCTTGTGCAAAAGCAGGTCAAGTAATTGTGCTGTTATGTTCTTACTCGCTTACTCTGCTTGCTTCTCCCTAACTTGACTCTCAGTGAAGATTTTGTCAAGCACATTTCTGTACCTTTTTAGCACATAGTCAGTTGAAAGAATATGAAGAAGCTGATGAACTGTAGGCAGAGATCTTAATCATAAGGCACAGTGGTTGCCACTCAGACTTGGTGCTACCATTTTTGTGAAACTATAGTGATCAAGATGCTGGGAAAGATTGAAGGAAGGAGGAGAAGGGGTCGGCAGAGGATGAAATGGTTGGATGGCATCACTGACTCAGTGGACATGAGTTTGAGCAAGTTCCAGGAGATGGTGAAGGACAGGGAAGCCTGGGTTGTTGCAGTCCATGGGGTCGAAAAGAGTTGGACACAACTGAGCAACTGAGCAACAACAAAAGTAGTGATTGAGACCCAGGAACTGCTTCTCTTTTCCCAGAGTCACATCTGTTGTTTTAAGTTTATTCTGTGGTTTTTGCATCATCCAAGGTGGCCTAGTGTTGTCATTAAGATATGGGCTATGTAGCCAAAATGCTTTCTGGTAACATCTGCAAGGTGGCAGAAGAGGAATTCTCTGCTGTCACTGCCTCCTAGAACATTGATTTTGGCATTCTCCCATGGACAAGAGTTCCTTTATGGAAGTCCGGGAGTATAGCAGAGATGTTTCAACACACTGCTGGGGCAAAAAATTCCAAAAATGCATAGACGAGAGTAAGAGGAGTATTTTGACTTTTCTTGCGTTGCCCCTCTGTCACGGCAGTACAGCTCAGTGCCAGGAGAGACCCCTCAGACTGTGACTCCACCCACAAGAGTGTGTACGTGCACACCTTGCACACTGTTCGAGAGGCCTCCTTGTTCCTCACCTCACCTGGCTTACTGAGGCGGCCTGTGTGTCTGACGGTTGGGAGGAGCCCTGGGGGCACCTGAGTCAGGGCTCAGAACTCATCAGAGGGCTGCTAGTGACCTTCATAAGTGCCGTCAGGAAGCTTGCCATAGCCACTGACTCCTTACCTGCAACCCCCTCCACCCCTGAATCCCCGCAAGTGGCCCGTGAGCACTCCCAGCAATACAGGTCTCTGGTTTTTTTCCAAAAGGTAAAATTGACAAAGCTGTAGCTAGACCAAGGTAAGTGTCCATCTATGCATAAATTAACTTTTAAAAATGTGATACACATAAAATGGAGTGCTATTCAGGCTTTAAACAGAAGGACATCTTGCCATTTGGGACAACATAGATGGACTTGGAAGGCGTTATGCTAAGAGAAATACACCAGACAAAGAAAAACACTGTATGGTGTCACCTATATGTGGAATCTTTTTTTTTTTTCTTTTAAAGTCAAACTCATAGAAATAGTAGAATGGTGGTTACCATATTCCAGGGGATGGGGTAAAGGGTGAGATGTTGGTCAAGTGTATGCACTTTCATTTATAACTAAGATGAGTAAGTTCTGAGCATCTAATGTGCAGCAAGGTGACTGTGGTTTACATTATTGTATTATATACATGAAATTTGCTTTGAGAGTAGATCTTAAGTGTTTTCACCACAAAATAAAAGAAGGAAATATATGAAGTGGTAGATAGATTAATTAACTTAATTGTGGTACTTACTGCACAATGTGCATGTATATCATCTCGTCTTGTACACTTTAAATACATTCAGCTTTGTCAATTATACCTCAGTGACGCTGGGGAAAAAGCCAAAATATGTTAAGGAAAGTCACCCACCATGATGTTTACATGCATATATATTTTTTCTTTTTTCTACTTTCTCCCAAATGACTTGTTCCATTTCTAAGAAGAGATTAAAAAAAAAAACACCTTTAAGGATTTTGATTGAAATTACTTTAAATCTACAGTTTGCAGATGGGAGAATTGACGTCTTTATCATTGTTTTGAAGGCCTGCTTTTAAATCCATTATCACTTTTCTCTAACTGTTGTATTCAGTTTTCCATAATATTGTCAGTCCATTGTCACATTTTTAAATGTATCTCTTTCCCTAAATATCTTTAAGTTTTAAATAGCTTGTTTCTTTGGTGCTTAGTTTCTTTTTATATTTCTCTAGATTCTCTGTCCTGCTTACACAACAAGCTAAGTTAGAATATTCAGTTGGAAAGCACTGGAAGACAACATATCTGGAATTTCTTATATATTTTCATTGGCAAATAATTTCCTTGAAATAAAAATACTAATTTATCTGCTTTCAATTTGGGAGATTTTGTCTTAAATTGTTTTTCTCTATTGTGCTTTTTCCAAGTAGTGTTTTTTTTTTCTTTAAAACCTTTTAAACTGTCAACCATTCTCAACCATTGATACAGATTAATACGGAGGAACATGTGGATGCAGCTGATCAGGAGGTGATCTTGTGGGATCGGAAGATTCCTGAGGACATCCTAAAGGAAATAGCCACTCCCCAGGAGGTGCCGGCAGAGAGCGTCACCGTCTGGATTGACCCACTGGATGCCACGCAGGAATACACGGGTGACTTTTCAGTTAAAATTGATCTCAGACTGGATATTGCCTCTATGTATTAGAGGACCAGAACAAGGGCAGGTGGTATATTCCTGGTGGTGAATATTTTTTCCAGATGGACACAACTTGTCCAGTTAGATTTAAGACAGAGAGCTGGATTAAAGCACTGTGGTCTGAAACTTCTGGAGTGGATCAGTTAGTTCTTGTCAGACTTTTTTGACCGCTGTATCATAGCATCCTCCTCTCAGTGACAGTGGCTCACTGTGTCACTGATTCTTTAGTGAAGGGAAGTTTCTGGCAGTCACAGCAACAAACTGGTTCCTATTGGACACCTGTTTATTGAAGTGTTTATTTATATATTGATTTGTATATTGAGGTGTGCATTATTGGGTTATTTATTTAGATAAACCATACACTATTGACTTGTGATTTTGGGAATTTAGATTTTATTGCATACACATCTAGCCTTAGAATTAAAAATAGTAAATCCTAGGCACCCAGGGAAGGTAAGTGGCAAAATCAGAGTTACTTCCCCCACCTCCTATTTCTGTCTTGTCTCAAACAGCTCTAGCTCCTATTTCATTTCTGTGGATTTTCTTCCAGGCCTTATATCTTACCCAGAGGTTATCTGATTTCTGCCTTTTCTTTATTCTCTTGGTATATAAAAGTTGATGGCTTATGTATTTGTCCAACTAAATGGTCCATTCTCTGAGTGTGGGGGCTTCTTCTTTTTCTCCTTTGTATTCTTGTGCTTAAGCTCGGAAATTGACCCAAAATAGACACTCAGTGGATAACTATTTGGAGAACAGGGAGAAGGCACTAAACATGTGTATCTAGTAGTAACAAATTCTAAAACAAAAGTTTCCAGAAATAGATAATAGAAACATGGACTATGGAGAGGTTCCTTTATAAACGGTTTTTCCTAGACTGAAATTGATTTGCTGATACAATGGTGACAATACTTAGTGAGTACATCCCTTGTACAGGGTCTTTTCTGAGTGTCTGAGACTCAATTTTCATATTCAGTCCTAACATTATTTTAATAATTGTTGTTATTAGATGGTTGTTTGTTTTTTTTTTCTTGTAGAGGATCTTCGGAAGTATGTTACTACTATGGTGTGTGTGGCTGTAAATGGTAAACCTGTGCTAGGAGTAATACATAAGCCATTTTCTGAATATACAGGTAAGAAATATGCTAGGAAAAAAACAAATAAATATGCTAGAGCTTCCAAGAATTAATGTTATTAAATCATTTCCTGTATTATTTATGGCCCTGTGGAAATTTCAGCTGTGATTCAACAATTATTAGAGTCAACCCACCTCATCCTTCACTGGTTACAGTGAGGATTTTAGTGTTGATACTAGTAATGTATGACAAAGCATAGCTTTCTGAACTTGTTTAGAGGATGGAAACTGTTAAATGAAAACGAGTGATCCTTAGTGTGTAGGGAATGCAGTTGAGTGTGGACACCCAGCAGCTGTGGTCCTCTCTGTTTCATGCTGTTGCTGGGGATATGGTCCTGGGCTCTTCCACGTGAGGTTATGTGCATTCTGGGATCTGCTGTGAAGTGGCCTTAGCCCAAAGAGAATTAGAACTGCAATAAAGAAGATGTAGAGCAAGTTGATACCAGCAAAGCAGATAGGTCCTGGTTTCCATATCTGTTCATGTTAGGAGGGAGAATGGGGATAATAAAGTGTCCATTTTTGAAAAACCTTTATTCCATAAAAATATATAATCTACCCCCCAACCATATGCTTAGTAACATAAGGTGCTTTTACTAGTCAGCAAACATTGCAAAAGAATCAATACGGCCTTAATTAGGTGTGAGTGACCTTCCTTTCCTGGATCGAAGGTTTGTTTGGTTTGTGCCCTCCTTGGGGAGTGATGTTCAGATCCAGGCTGCATATTGCTGTTGCCCAGTACAAACTGCCAAGTATTGTGTATTTACCAGAATGTAGCTATACTTGACTATAGTGGGAGCTAGGTATTACTATTGCTGGCAGCAGTTAGAACAGAGCTGATCAAAATCTTACCAGATTTAATTAAAATTAATTCACTGAGGGATATTCTTAGAAGCAAGAGATGCTTGAATAGTACACAGTTTACTGAAGTGATATATAAACGTGGACACAGTCCATCCACTCAGTGGAAATCTGCAGCTAATAGAAAGAAGTTGTAGTGTCTGAAGTGTGTGGAACAAAGTACCAACCACTTGTTATTTCCTACCGGACTTTCTGTTGGCATGTCTTATAGATGGAGTGTTGAACACATTCTGTTAGCTGCTGTTTTAGCTTATCACTACTACCGTATCATCATCATTCACGTATATTTATTTAAATACCTAACTGTGTTTTAAGGTGTTTGAAATAATTTTGTCCATATAAATGTTATGTTATGATTGAATGCATTGAGTTTATGTGATCTGAAATGTGTATTGTTAGTATTAAATCAGTAATTCTTATCTAAATTATTTCTGGTACTATCTACTGAGATGTATTCTCTTTATTCTCTTACACAATACTGACCTCTAGAGATACAGCATTGCAAATTCACTTCTTGATACAATTGTGTGTTTTTTGATCATTTCCAAAAAGAATTTAGAGGATTTTTTTGTTTCTCTTTTCTTATTTCACTTTTATTACAAATAATTTCAAAAATTGATAATGACTTTTCATGTACCTTCGATTAACAGTTGATATTTTTATATATTTGCTTTTATTCATTCATTTATTTCTCTATGTATTTTAGAGATAATAACAAAGATCATGACCTTTTACCCCATATATTTCAGTATTCATCTCTAAAGAAAACATATTTCTAAACAAGAACAGTACTGTTAATAATAAAATTAACAATTTTATCCAACAGTCACATTTCCCCCAGTTGTTCAAGAAGTGGATTTTATAACCTGTTAACTGAGACCACAGTCCAGTTAAGTGACAAGCATTTCTTTTGGTTGTTAGGTCACTATGTTAAGTTCTTTTAGACTAGAACCTGGATCGGCCTCCAGTCCCCTCTCTCCCCATGACATTGACTTGTTGAGATCAGGTCACTTATCACAGAAGATCCTGCCCTTTGGGTTCTTCTGATTATTATTTTCTTGTGATTATTATCTGCAGGATGTTTACTAGAGAAATCTCTTGGGGTCAGATTTGTGGGAGGGAAGGCAGGAGGTGGGGAAGTTGAGTTGCAGTGTGGTCCAGTGAAGACTGCACAGCGGCCCTGCAGGGAGCTCTAGAGCCGGGATATTCCTCAGCAAGGACCTATTAGTCTCTCTTCTGGTTGGGCATGGTTGTCTAGCCCCTTGTAGTTTTGTCTTAATATGTGCCTGTTGTAAAAAATAAACATATGATCCTTGTACTCGAAAAACCAAAGCTCCCTGTTTGGAGATAAAAGATTTCTTGGGAAGTTTTTTCCAGTCACTCCTGGTATGTTGGTTTTAAAAAGCCTTGGTGCCTTTACTAGCTATTACATTTGCTTTCCAGCCTGGGCGATGGTAGACGGTGGGTCAAATGTGAAAGCCCGCACTTCTTACAATGAGAAGACCCCAAGGATTGTCGTGTCTCGCTCGCATTCAGGAATGGTCAAACAGGTGGCTCTTCAGACTTTTGGAAACCAGACTACCATCATCCCCGCGGGTGGAGCTGGTACGTTCCTGCTCTGGGTGGGCCCTGCCCTGTGCCCTGCGTGGCCACGCCCACGTCAGGAGGCTCACTGGCTTCCGGTCCTTGGGAAGAAGTGGGAGTGGACACTGGGGCTTCTAGGACAGGCCTGGTGTCCTGCTTGGTTATCTCCAGAGCGGGATTTCAGGCACACCTGCCTCTTGGGTACAGACAGCCTCACAAAGGAAGCAGTCTCACAGAAGCGGTTTCTGATCCTGGAATGTATGCAAGTCTCTTCCCGACTCTGGTGGTGGTCGTACGTGATCTGACTTTGAAGTGATTGTCCTGTTAGTGCAGCTGTAACCATCGCAAGCAGAGAAAGAAGGATCCAGCCGTCACAACCCTGCACTTAGCAGGGGCTGGCAGGAACCATCCTTAAATGTCATTAGAACGGCTAATGGCTACTGTTACTAGATTGATTGATTGATTGATTTTTTTCAATTTTTATTTTTATTTTATTTTTCTTGAGAACCTCTTGAATTTTAATAAGACCGCATTCAGGGGCTAAAGAGAGGGAGATGACTAATATTTCTGGAGGGTCAGAGTCTTTGTAAAGCAATTCAACACTGAATCATTTTCCCTTTTCCATACAATATTGATTCTCATCTCTATAATCCTTGCTTACATAGTCTCCATAACACTGAATATTCCTTTACTTCCTCTTCACCTTGTTTTTTTTTTTTTCTTTTGTCCATTTATTTTTATTTGTTGGAGGCTAATTATTTTACAACATTGTAGTGGTTTTTGCCATACATTGACATGAATCAGCCATGGATTAAAAATACAAAAAATACCCGTAGCTTGAGGGCTGTGTGAAAACAGGCCATGCCTGGATTTAACCCACTCTGTTTTGAATGTTGTTTGCTAATGACAGAAGTGTTTTAATTCAAATAAATTGGGAAGTATGGTAGGAAACATTTGTGTTTAAAAACCTTTTTCAGCACAGTAATAGAAAAGTAATGCTTTTAACTTTTAAGCCTAACAGTTTTAGTTTACTGCTGACCTATACATGTCTTTCGTAACATGGTTTCATTGTTTTTTTATAGTCTGTCAGGTTGGTTAGGAAAGGTGATATCTAAAATTTCCAACAGGAATAGGATAAAATAGGTTTTTGACCCAGTTTCTTCTGGGTTTGTTTTGTTATTTTATTTTTAAAATTCTGCCCCATTACACAGAAGACTTAAGATGGTAACATTATCTTGTGCTTTCTCCTTTCCAGTCCATTCTTCCTAAACACTCAAGGGAGACCTGGGGGTGTTTAGCTTCAGTGTATAGTCCATAGGAAACAATTTATATTGAAGGTATCACCTCTCAGAAGACAACCACAAAGTAGATGTAAATTTAAAAAAATTATAAGCATATGTTTATTTATACTTGAGAATAGCTTAATAAACTACTTTGCATACTTTGCAGTATTGTTTTGCTCTTTTGGGATTAACATCTGTACTGTGACTTTAAAAAAACTATTTTTAAAAATAAGTTTAGACTTAGCAGTTGCAGAGATAGTGTAGAGAGCTCCTGCATACCCTTTGCTTGTGTCAACAACATCCTCAAGACAGTACGCTCCTTTCTTCCTCTCTTCCAGATAGTAACCTGAATCCTGTGTTTATCTTGCAGGTTATAAAGTTTTAGCACTCTTGGATGTGCCTGATAAGAGTCAAGAAAAAGCTGATCTATATATCCATGTGACATACATCAAAAAGTGGGATATCTGTGCTGGCAACGCCATCTTGAAAGCCCTCGGGGGGCACATGACCACCCTGAGTGGTGAAGAAATTAGCTACACTGGTTCCGACGGTATTGAAGGGGGGCTTCTGGCCAGCATTAGGATGAACCACCAGGCTCTGGTCAGAAAGCTCCCGGATCTGGAGAAGACGGGACATAAGTAAGCCAAGCTGACGACAGGTCACAGCCCACCTGCAGCTGAACGGTTGGCCTGACGTGCTGAGGCTTCAAAGCAGCGGTGGAGACTATGCATGGTTTAGGCCATCCCGAACTTTTTAAAGTATTTATGAAGCATCTGAGACTTCTTTTCCCTGTAATAGAATGCAGGATCAGGGAGAATGGGTTGCTTCGTGTCTCAAGTATTGTCTTTATTTTTGAGACTATTTTCGTACGGTTGTCATACACAAGGCGCGTATATATATATTTGTGAATTAAAATCTATAGCTGAGTCTACATTGTTATGAGTCACCGTTTTCACACAATATCATGAATCTTCAGTTTGTTAATACTTTCATATAGAATTGGGCTGAAGAAAGGATTGTTTTGTGTAGGTGTTTAATACTACTATATAGTTATATCTCATTGAAAATAAAGTAATTGGGGGTTTTTACCCCTAATTCAGATAGAAAGCACAAGAAGCTGCAAATTCATTAATATGCAACAAATTCTCTGTTACCGAATATTTCTTATGGATTAAAATAGAAAAAGCTTAAATTGTTTTTTTTCTTTGAAATTTTAATAACAGGTTCACCAGCTAGTAGAGAATATGGATATATGATGGTTGCATTGTAATTTCTATGTGTGTGTGTATTCTGTTTGTTTTGGTTTGTTTTTATAAAGAGACGTGTATTTGTACCTATGGGTTCAACATTTCTGTCATCTTGCTAATCAGTTTCACTTGTCCTGTGGATGGTGCATGGTTCTGTCCTTTCCCTCCTGACCCACATTTAATCTTTAACTTGTAAGGTTTGGGTTAAGGTTTCAGGGTTTAACATTAGAATTTTGGTACTTTTTCTCATTAGGGGTAAAATATGCTATAAGGCATTATAAAAATATAATGTTATTCTGTTATTAACTGAGAGTTATTTGAAGTTACGTGAATTGAACTAGCCTTCATTATTTTTAAAAGCCTTGTTTTAGTACTTTTTAAAAAATTTGCCATGTCTGTAGAGATTCCCTCATTGTCAAGAGTGAGTTAAGGTGGCTTTTGCCGTTAATAAATGGATCAGTCTTACCAAGCTCTCAAAGTAGTAACCTAAGATACTTTGTATTTTCCCTTCGGGTTAAAAAAATGATTGAACTTGCTTTTTTATGAGTTTTTTTCCTATTGAGGTGTGCACAATCTGGTTGGAAAAGGTGACATATTTGCAGTGTCACTGTAATTTGAACTTTGTTTTGTGAGCTGTCTCTCATTGGGATGTCTGGTTTCTGTCAGCGTGATAGTCAGAAACTTCACTTCAACAGTACCGTCATTTCACATGACCTTGCCATGGTTTTGTTCCATAACACACTGATAAGGAGAGGGATTTCTTGGGGTTTCATGGTTTCCTTTTTTCTTCTCCTCTCTCTCTTTAACCCTATATCAGTTTTTAACCCTTGGTCAACTTTCCATTTGTTTTCTTGTCTTGGAGATAAAGTTGACCAAAGGAAGGGCAGGCATCCTCACCGGGTGGAATGTGCTTACAACTTTAGGCTTGCAGATCACACCGTCTGAGGTCCTTACTCCTCGTTGGAGAATCGGCCCTAGTGTGATACACACATTGCCTTTACCCGGCCTCTAGCCACCAGTCCTGCAGGGTAGTGGGCCTCAACAGCTAGGGTTTTATTCATCAGAATTCATCCCAAGTTTTAGTAGTTGAAGTACCTGGTGTTTAACCAGGACTTTTAGGAATTCTGAGCCAACTGTCAGTGGCTTCATCTTTTTACTTTGCATTGAGATGAGGAGAGATGGCAGAGGCATGTGCTGTTTCCAGAGTCCTGTGATGTAAGTGTGTGTTCTAATTGTGATGTGTCAAACTTCGGGGAAAGAGACTAGGATATTAGGAAATGGGTCTAGTTCATATTAGCAGGCATGGTGTTTTGGCTTTAGTTTTTAATTTTATTAAACTACACATAGATAATGACTTTGTGGAGAGCTTGTGTCATGTGCAAAAATTAGGATACTGGCTGACAAATGCATTATTTTTGTGATTTGTTGAGTATAGCATAGTACTAATGGTTTTAAGTACTTTTATAAGAAGTTCATTTGAAAACATTTCATTTCTAAAAGTCAGTATACATTACAGAACTAATATAAGTTCAAAGAACAGTATTTATTTATGTAGGATATTGTGCCAGGACACACATGTGAGAAACACCTTCTTGTGTGAGACAGATAACATCTCCCATAAATACAAGTATTTCTAAAATGTTTACTCTTAGTGACTGTCGCCTACCCAACATCTGATCTCCCTTTCCGTCATCTTTGCCCGTAGAGGACGGTTTTCCATTAAAATTGAGTTTTCTGCATCAGTTAGTAAAAGTAGCACCAATAAATAACCTTAGGGTCCATCAGCTGTCCCCTTCCTCTGCCCCTCTTTCTCTCCACCTTGTTCCATGTCTCCCTAACTTGTTAATATATATGTTATCTTATTTCTACTTCTCTTTGTTAACTAATATACCCTTCCTCAACACTTAACCCTGGAATTCTCTCACAGACCTGTGTCTCTGTGATTGGCTGCTGAAATCTTAGGGCAGAACTGAGACTAGAATTCCAGTGAGGGAGATTAATACTGATGAAGCCCAAGTTGACTATTACTTTTCAAAGACTCCTCAAAAAGTAAAGGAAAATAACCTTTAAAACCACAGAGTAACTGTCAAGAATAACCCAAGGCTTCTGTCTTAAGCCTTTCTGACCCATCCTTCGAAGAATGAAAGTGCAGAAAATACAAGCACGTTGCTTGCTGGAGAAAGCTTGCTATCTCTATTAGTTTTCATAATTGATCCCTACTTCAGTTGGAATTACAAGGACATACAAGACATGTCCTATTTATCTTTGTTATTCAGTTGTCCCCTTTCCCCAGTTTTAGTGTTTTTCTTTGATTCTAAATATTGAGTTGCTTATGGCCATGTAATGAAGTAATAAGCTTCATGTGGTTTGTGTGCTTTAAGTAGCAGTTGTGCAGATTCTTCCTGTTTGCTGGGTGCTTCCTTTGAATATTGTGCAAATTGAGTAGGGGCGGTGGCTGAGGAAAGAGTGGGAGGAGGAAAGGCGGGGAAGCAGACGCCAGGCAAGCGCTCGCCCTGTCTCAGGCTGTTTAATTCAGAAATTGGATTTGACTCAGGCTTTGCAGGTGATGACTGTCTCCCACTGCCCAACGTAAGTAAAGAAAGCCGGCATGCCACCCCCTCCCTATTCCTCAGAAAAGAAAGTACCCAACTTGCCGCTCCTTGATAACAGCTTGAAAATGGCTTTCTGGAGACAATCTTAAGCAGGTTTAAAATGGGAACTGTTTAGAATCTAGCCACAACTACTCACTCACCTTGGCTCTGTGTCGATTGGTTGTGAGTAGAAGCAACGATTTTTCATTTTGGTTTAATTTAAGACTTATTTGTTTTTAGCGTATGCCTAAAAACGTCTGCCTTGTAACTTGTGTAAAATAAATTGATGGTTTCATTTTTATTCTAAAAAAAAGTTGTGCCTTAACAATAGGGCATTGTATGTTAATAAGGGAAAACAAAAAAATTTTTTTAGTAGATGGGGAAAACAGTAACTTTTGCCATTAAAATTTAAGTTCTTTTCATGTTTTTAATATTAGAGTTGGGGAAAATCATTAAAGTTAAATAAAATTAATATAAAATTATTTTTGCATAATCTAGCATTTACAACTGAAGTACTTTTTTATAAGAACTGGCATCTTGATGTATATAAGTCTGAAATGATACATAATCCTTTGGTTTTTAATTTGAATTAATAAGACCATGATTTTGATTTTTAATTTTACTTTTAAACCATTTTAGTGTGCTATTATATTTGTTCTAGAACTCCGAGTCACTTTGGTTTTAAAAGCTAGCTGTTTATTTATCATACCACATCAGAAATTTCTTAATGTTAAAAAATACTGTATGTTTGTGATGTAACCAACCAGAACAGTTCCTAGATCGGGGAGGGTTTGGATTAACATTTACTAAGAAGGCAAGAAGAATTGAACTTTATACTTCAAAAGGAGGTTTTTGGTTTTATGAGGTGCTGGTCATAAAACTTGTTTTCTTGTTTGTTTGTTTTTAATTTTATCAAAGCCAGGCAGGTGTTTGCATTCTAATTTACCATTGATAAAGGCTTACAGGGAAGCCACTTTTTAAAATTATTTTTTAAAATGAGTAATGAATTATGTGGGAAAATGAGATTTATAAATACTAGTTTTCCTTTGAGATAATATAAATCAAACTTTCATAAGTTAAGGGTGATACATAATATCATAACATGTATACTGTGTTTGTAAGGGTTCCCTAAAGTATTACATTCAGGTAATTTGTGTAAATTGCAAAAGCAGAAACTGTGATGTTCGGTTAGTAGTATGTTGTGTTAGAATTCTTTGGGGGATGTATGTTATATACATAGTTGACTGTTACTCAGTTGCTCCTCTTGTATTGAGTAGGAGATACAGCATCTCAAGTCATTTTTAGATCAGTTAGCCTTCAGAGACTTCACCTCTCTTCCCCAGTTATCTCTTCCAAGCCGTCTTCATCATCTGTGTTCAGTTACAGTGGAATTGTTTATTGACGTTAATTTATGTGTAAAATACGGACTTCAGTGTCCTTTGTACTCTTGCATCCACCGTTGGCAGTAGCCAAAGCTAGCTTCGTAGTCTCAACAGGAGAGACAGCATTCTGCCATAATGAACTGTGGTGCTGCCAGAGGGATTTCCCCCCTTTCAATGGTTTTACTTAAGTTACTCGATAAGCAGTTGAGTTTACATTAAAACAAAGAAATGGTATATCTTGTCTATGTCCTGCCTCTTCCAAATTGGATATGTTTTTTTTTTAAATAATTTTTCACTTCCTTATCAATCTCTTATAGGGGGCTAATGATGAGAGGGGTTAAAATAAAACTGCCCATCTTTGAATACCCCTTTCCCTCTCACACATGGAAGGCTGTGGAGGAGCGAGACCATTCCTGTTGCCA